ATATATTATACAATAATAAATTAATACTATAATTATAGGATGCGAAGGAAAAACAATAAGAAATATAATTCTCACTAAAAAATAATATCACTAAACATAAATTTAATAGTTCTAATAAAATTTATTAGTAAACCTTCATGAACGTAGAGACAGTAAAACAAGCACAAGTATTGCGCACGATAGCATCCACAATTTCGCCTGTACAGATTCCAACTGCCCAATTGTGATATCCTTTCTTGAGGATCAATTCATTATCGGTATTGACAACTTTCGCATGTAAATCACCCCAGGATTCCGGATCCGTTCTAGTGCCGATCTCTTTATTTATATCTTTTAAAGGCATACCCATTACCGCAACAGCAGACCAGACCGGTACTAATATTATATATTAAAATAAAGAGTCTATATGTAAATGAGAATGGAAATTAGCAAAAATTAAATATTTTGTCATAAAATCTTTTCGACTTCTCTTTTTATAAAGCTACGAAGATCCATATAAAGTCGGATTTTGCAATTTAGTCCTTAAAATATTGTAATAAATAAAATTATCTCTACTTCAACTGCACTACAGTACATATATCAAAACAAATTTTTATTTCGCTTTGTTACGAATATCGTATAATTACATTGCTATTATTATAATTACAATATTTTAACACTAATTACCAGAAGCTGGTCCACTCTCGCCAATGATTAACGCTTGAATCGCATTTGCTGAAAGTCCGAGTTTTTGAGCGATAAAATATTGAAATCTGCAGCTGTCTAGAAACGTTCCTAATCCTATAACACGATTTGGTGGAAACCCAGATAGCTTCATAGCAACGTACGATAGAATATCAACTAAATAACATGATCAAAATAATGATTTCATGTATTATACTATACTTATGTAATGTTCGATTAAAATTGACCAATCTCGAATTATAATGCGTTTAAAATATCTTAGAGAATATCATCATAGAGAAGAATATAATCATAGAGGAGCATTAACATGTTGCTATTTATTAAACATATAAAATACTTATTAGAAAAAGCCAGACGGTATATATGTGTAATTTTTTAATATGGCAAATATTAAATGCATAATAATAAGAGTGTACCTGGCTTTGAAAGAATGAGAAGAACACTGTTCGGCGCGTACTTGGAAACGTTAGGAATGACGTCTTTGAAAATTTTCAGATTTTGCTCTAGATAATCGGCTGGCCGCAGATCTTCACGAGATTGGCTTCCAACTGTGATCACGCATACCGCTGCGTCTCTGGCACAAACATAATCTATCGGAGCGTAATACATGTTGGATGATTTATCGTTTATCACAGAATTTTATTTGTTTTGCGCTTTTACACGAGAGATGTATTTGTAAGAAAAATAAACCTATTCTAAAAGATAAACCTATTCTCTCTATATTCAAAAATCAGAGGAAAGAATATAATATGATACAATAATTATAAAATACTCTTCAATTTTTATTAGCTTTATTCCCAGGAAGAAAAATCGACGTGGATCCGATTTTTATTTCTCTGTATTAGCGATACCATCATTTATCAATTGCTAATTAATTTCTAGATAAGTGTGCCGCTTGTGCGTTCATCTTACGGCATCACGTAAAATCATGCATAATTCATCTTAATGTTAATAACACTCGAAATGTCATTCAACGCAATAACGCGGATGTTACCTCTGGGGACTTTATTGCTAATCGCAATCGCGCTGTTTACTTATCGAACGTTAAAGCGTGGTCATTTTGAAATAATTGCTCGTTACTCGCGGACAGTGTAATGACGGTCTCGCTATTTTTCTGCAACCTCCTCTTATCAGACTTCACCTTTGGTACCGACAATTCTGGGATTGCCGAGATATGCTGCCGCATGGCTGATGTCTTCTGCTTCCGTCTTGGCAAGTTCCTCGTTCGCATCTATGAGGACGAGCTCGGAGGCAAGACGCTGCGAAAAAATTACAGAGGGGATGAATGGTTGAACAGGGTAGTGAGCAGAGGAGCTACAGAGTAATTAACGGCACCTAGTTGCTGCCCAGCAGGCAGCGTTATTACGCGCTTCAAATCGTTACGCAACAAGAGCATCACACCCTGCCCGGGAATCACATTAAGATGCGAATGAGTGCGCGATCAATCGCACTATTTGCAAAGTCCCCTAATGCGAGGAATCGGTTAAGATCCGAGATCAAGAAACAGTGTTGAGAAGTGCGTTATTTTCGGAGGAATCCACTATGTCGGTTTCGCTTCATCGTGATCGCCGTGGTTGCCGCCAGTGTCTGGTGACACAAACGATGTCTTGCGCAGGACGATAACTCATTCATGAATAATTATGGGACCGGTACGGCTTCTTCTCGTCGGTTCCTCTTCCCGGGGACTACCGTCCGTCCTACCTCCGGCAGTCGCTACAAGATTTTCGGCCGTAGCGACCGCATTTCTTATGAAATGTCAAAGCATGTCGAGCATGAAGAATGCTTCTACGACCCCCTGTCCGCACGTGCTTCATTTTTCTCCCGCAATCATGGTTTCTTCGTAAATGTTGACTATTTGTTTCCCCATGAATTTTTTATAGTTTCATTAACGTAGCGTACATTAGAGATACCCAGAGATATCGTAAATGTAACGTTATACGAAGTGTGGCAAATGGCATGGCAAACGAGTGGTATAATAAGGGACCGCTGGTAATCTATATTCGTTTTTGAACGATAGATCATTAAGCTTCGAGCGGTTTTAATTTGTGCAGGTTAATTTGTGGTATAATGGGATATTCGGACGATTATGTAAATCACTCCGTAAAAGTTAATGAGCATTTCTCCCAGGGCCATCATATCGTGTACAAACGCGTTTTTGTAGTAATGACAACAAATGGTGTATATTACATGATGTATATTAACACTACGTTATATACACTAAGACGCTTGTATACGAACAGATGGACGTATTTTCCTCAGACAGATGGTACTTTCACACTTTACGTTAAGACAAACGGCGGACTAACTACAAAACGACTTCTTAATATATTATGTTGAACGCTCCTGCTTCCGATCTATTATTGTACACCACTTAATTATCATACTTCATCAAGCGTGTCTTCCGAAAGGCGTAAAGTACCGTGAACTTAAAACTTTTGAATAGATCCATCACTTTTGTTTCGCAATAATCGTAAACATATAACTTTCACTTGTGCTTATTATATTATATATTTTTAATTACAAATATTTAGTAAATTTCTTTTTAATATTTTAGATTTCTTCTTCTTTTCTGTATTATTTTTATTTGCATAATAAAAGGCTTATCAATTTCTTTTAATCGGATAGATATGTTTTTTAATGTAGATAGAAATATTTTTAAAACGTTCTTTTCAACAATGTATTGCACAGAAAATTATCAAGAAATATTTCACACAAAAGAAATAATATTTCCAGTTTCTTTGAAATAATATTTGATTATATATTAATGTATATAACAAAATGTTAGACTTCACAATTAATATAAAAATGTAGAAGATAGAATAAATATTTTTGATCAGTTTCTTGTCTTCCATACTGATCCATATTTAAATAATTACATAGCTGTAAAACAGTCACCATTATAAACCAGAAATATTAGATAATATATTTTATCAATGCCGAAATGCAGGTAATAATCATTTTTCATTAATCCTTGAAACATTTATTCTCGTCGTGATAAGACGATGATAAGTTTGGGAGCACGTTTTACTTTCCTTTTACTGAATCATTTAAATGCTCACAATTTCTCACTATCTGATACTCTGTCCGTAAGATGACATAACTACTTGCATATTAAATATCGATGTAGATATGGTCCAGGATATATCAACGAAGTATCTTCTGCCAGTATAATTTGCACAGCTTGATACGGGCCATCCAACACGGTGTGTCACAATGAGACAAGAAACTGAGAGAAGAACAAGAAAAAAGATGTCTGACACGCTACAGTTGTGAAGAATTTGGGTAGGTTCACAAGGTAGACGGCAAGCTGTAGCGATCGTATTTTCGTACTTTGCGATGATCTCGTTGAGATGCAATCTGCCATGCTGCAACGCAAAGTGCAGCAGCACGACTCGGTCATATCTTTCACTTCTTGCTCTTCTTCTTGAAACGCTTCTTTTTGTTTTTTTCCACAGCGTCTTTTGCTACCGAACGTTCCGGTAATCAGGAGATCTTCATAGTCATGTCGGATCAGCGCCATCAAAATTTTGAGTTTCGTAGTTAGTCTTAAATAATTTATATTGACTAGAATGCAATAACATGTTTCATATATTTCTAATTAGTACACGTTTCGAATTTTTATAAAGACTAAGGAAGTCATTTGTCATTGTCAAAAGAATCAAGGAAGCGGTTTTGAGAAAATTTATAATATTAATTTGACATGGAACGCAGACAATTTTCCTCAAAAGCTGTTATCATGTACGATAACGAGTTTCGTTTATTTCTAATTAGTACACATTTTCTAATTTTTATAAAGACTAAGGAAGTCATTTGTCATTGTCAAAAGAATCAAGGAAGCGGTTTTGAGAAAATCTATAGCATTAATTTGATATGGAACGCGGGCAATTTTCCTCAAAAGCTGTTATCATGTACGATAACGGGTTTCCTAATATCCTAGTTATTCTCGGTACTATCCTGACTCCTCCTCGATAATATACACGATAAACTCCACTATATATTATTTAGTCTCTCGATATACACCATAAGTCCGACCAACGAGAAGTCTATCGTCCGTCAGTTACGCCCTCCGCGTCTCACCGCATGCACACACCATTGTTTGCCCTCGTAAATTTGCGGAAACTGAAACCTAGAATTAGTCGCCCACATTTATTACCCTCTACCGAATGTACCCAACATATGGATACAACGCTAGCTGTTGCACCTTGCAGCCCACAATGCGTTCCTTCTAACAGTTAATTTTCCTTCTTGATGCAACAGATACGAAATTATGCCTAAAACAATACAATGGTAATACATAGTTTCATTTAGAATGTTACAAACAATTTCATATTTCTCACATTTTCCATTATTACATAAGCGGTACTTGTTAAGATCCAAAAGTAATTCTATGCGTAACTGTGGAATTTCTTCTTCTATGAAATTTTTCAAAAGCTTCTAAGCACATCCTTCATAAAATCTTAAATCAACTATTATATTGCAATACTATTTGTATTCGTTTCGCGAGGATTTCGAGACGAACGGTGTTATAAATTGCAGTCTCTCTCCATAGTTACTAACATAAATCAGTCAGTTAGAGCCGTCTTGCGGGGGCGCATTGGCCGACGTGTAAATGCTCGCGTTACGATCCGATAACGAGCGAAAGGTTCGGCCCACTTCTCTACATCTTCTATAGTCTTCTCCCTGCTATCCTCTTTCCTCTTTCATGTTCCACCCTACTCCTTCTTATAGCCGAATTCCCTCTTCTGGTCTTCCGTGGATCATTTGCATAATAGCCTTTTTGAACCGGCACACACGTACACACTAACGAGCTTACATTCAGGAGCCCCTGTAGACCTGCAGGTATACTCATACACGAACTTACACACGTTAGGGCATTCCTTGGCTCGTCCTTTGTTGGGTGCGACTCGAGGGTATATCTCTCGAGGTCCACCAACGTGTAGCATTATATCTTTGATCCTCGACGAACAAATACGAATTACGTGCTCGAACCATGTGGATACCGGCGCTATGTCTCATTCACTCGATATCATTGTGGACATGTTTAGATTGACGTATCGAGCACATTATCGTATCATCTAATGGAATGAGACACGGATCTATTACGCACGCGTGCATTAATCAATGTTGATATACCTTCGAAGTATATAAATTGTACATCAATGAAGTAGTAATATATTAGTATTTTAGTTATTGACGTTGACTTATATGCATCAGCATTTTTACGTAGTTAATGGTAATTTGTGAAATGTACTATTAATTTCAAAATATTACACTGTTAAAAAAACAGATTATAAATTTATAGAATATGCATCTAGAATTACTGGGCGAATTAATTTCTAAATAAATTCTTATTCTTACATAATATTTATCATTAAAGGTTATAAAAAGTATAACAATTTTTTGCTCATTATTTATGTATGTGCCATCATATGCTTAATAAAAAATATGTGCTGCTACATTTGATAAAACAGTTAAATCATTGTTATAATAAAAATATATAGCGTATATGCATAAAAAATTAATTAAAAAATCAAAATAGTACGAAAGGTTAGAAACTAGAAAAAAATCGGAAATCCACCAACTTTGAATAGAATCGCTATAGCGACCGCAACACCCTTAGGCGCACTGCCCACGACGACGACCTTGACACGATGGCCATCCACAAGATGTTCTGCCTGTTTGGCCAGTAAAACTGTTACCGTGTTGCTGGCTACCTCAGGTGATTTCTTTTTCGTTTCGGTCATATCCGCGATACACGGATATTCTTCACTTCGAGGTATAACACCAAATAATTTAGACAAACCAAAAGTCGCTTGACATTGTGAATATTTCTAATTGAAACCACAAAATTTTACGTATCGTCATTAAAATTTACATAAGATAGGATATGTCTGGAAAAGCAGACAGTCGAAAAAAATATCTTTGACAGGAGGTAAATGAAGTTGACAACGGAAATGTAGCAAGTAGATTTACTGTCAATTTGAAATGACTACATAAAATGGTATGTGCAATAAGGTGATTATATTGGTTCTGTACGATCGAACGTGAGAGAACTCTCTCTGCCTTTCGTGTTCAACATACATATCTCGTACGTTCATAATGTACTATATGTACGAGATGTGAACCTCAAGTTATCTTGTAGCGGGAGATATACAATCCGATTAACACGTTCGATCACAGATGAAAAGATGCTATCGATAAATTCAATCGTACCGTACATAATCAATTATAATCGGAAAGAATGCTCGTTATACAAAAAGGTAAATGCTCGGGGCAGATGTAGAGACGAATCGCCAATTGGACGTATCGTTCCTATGATTTTCGTTTTTCTGCGGATAGAAGGTCGTAAAATTGATCGACAGCTGTGCTACGAAGCCACACAGGTGGGATGCGCTGCGTTCCTGGAGAGATACTGCCAATTTGTATTTTACAGGATATTTGAGAAGGGATCAAAAAGCGATTCTTAGAAATCGACTCTTTTATTCCTTATAAACCTCATTAATTTAGTTTACTATCCTTTTTCTTATTATAAAAATGTAATTCTGTTTCATCCCAATAATTATTCAATTTCTACGATTAAAAAAATTACATATTATATATATATAACTTTATATGTATAAAATACAACGACTTCACTACAAAACAAGACTTAAAATTAAAAAAAGATTGTAGTTTAAATTATCCAATCTCCTTTAGCCGCAACTCTCAACCTTATACTCGCATGCAATGGAGAGTGCATTTTCATCCGCCCTTTCACCTTTCCGCTGTACATCGTTCGGTTGCGTAAATCAAAATTCGATCGAGTAAAAAAAAACGGTAATAAGCTCCGCACGCGTGGAATATTGTAGCGTGTACCGTTCGCAGGCAATCTTAGGAGAACGCGGCTGGTTTAATTTTCCAGGAAGTCGAGTTTCACTCATATATCGTTTATTATGACGATCGAATGTACGCACGCAGAAAACCGGTTACCAGGTGCAGTATTGCCCTTATTGATGAAGATGCATTCTAAAACGTCGTTCCTTCTCTCCACTCCCTTTCCTCTTTCTCGCTATTTCCGCGCCATGTATCCGTTCGCATCCGTTCGCATCCGTTCGCAAGTCCTTCACGTTTCTCGCTCTCCTCTTTTCCTCGGTCTACCGGTCGTCACTCTTCAATGTCGCTCGATTCGCGAAGAATGCCACACTCACGTAACACATTGCGGATGCTGTCGGCGCACTGTTGTACCGCCGTCTTTTCCTGATCGTTCAGCTTCTGTCGCACCGTGGCGTACACACCTTCCCGACCGAGAACACAGGGTACCGACATGTACACGTCTTTATCGGTCCCGTGGGCACAACTCTGTGAACAGAGATTCCTCGATCTTGTTTTTCCCGTCGTGTCAATCGGCACATGCGAATAAATGCACCTGAGAACGCTTTTCTTAAGGTACAAAAATACTTTACTTGTTAGTAAAAAGTCAACATAATTATAAAGTCAATAAAACACAAGAAAAAGCGAATTAAAAAATTATCATTATCTTATAACTATTATATGCAAATTCCTTTCTCTCATATTCGATTCTTAATTAATTATCCTGTAATCTGTGTGTTCAAACCAATTGGTACCAGAAAAACTATAATATTGAATTTTTATACAATTCAAATGTGTCTTAGAATAAAATTAATTCGTTTAATTTTAGAGTAATGTTAGCAACAAGCTATTATAAAATCTATCTTAATTCACTCAATAATTTTACTGAATGTGTCAACTTGATTATATCTCTCACGTGTATGTACGTCGACACTGGCAATACGACTTTAGTATTCCTGACGATGGCATCGACGATCTCAGTAGTGCAGAAGCCCAGAGCCCAGGAGTTCGGTCCTCCCTCGCCCTTCTTCCGATTAAGCTCCGTGTCGCTACGAACACACAACGCGTAGATTTTATTACTTTCTTAAATTTTCTCGAGAATATCCAGTGATCTTAACCACTGACGTTTTATTTACAGCTTCAGAAATGTCATGCCACTTCTCGGGATCATCCGCCTCCCCTATTCGTTGGTTTATGTCTCGTATCTTCGTTCCTGCCACGTGAACGCTCGACCATATGGAAACTGTAAAACGACAGATGTTGGAGAGAAAGAGACGTTAACTGTTAGATCGTTTACAATATAACTATAGTATATGTAATACTTTTCAGTATGAATAACATCTTTGTAAAAATCTCGTCTGTGTATTTATAACGTTTAGAAATACTCCAATAGATGCAATTATTAGTGTAATAATAATATCTAGTACAATCTTATCACTAACTACTATCAACAAATGTACAACAAATGTGTAACTGCTATGTAACATAAATACATTTTATATCTGTATTATATTCAATATTTGCTAGAATTACATCGCGAGTCTATGTAAAATTAGTCAGGACGTCAATCAAATACCAGATGTGTCGCCCTGTGCGCCGATACTCATGCAATTGATTGACGTTCGCGCCAGTCCCAACTTCCGACTCAGTAAATCCTGAAACCTGCAGCTATCAAGCAGAGTCCCTGTGCCAAGCACTCTGCTTGAAGGAAACTTGGACAACTTCCAAGTGATGTACGACATCACGTCGATCGGTTGAGTTACAACTAGTAACACTGCCTTGCAAGCCAACTTTGCAATTGTAGGCACGATCTTCTTGAATACCTCGATGTTATGCTTGACATTGATCTCCTCTTCAAGTTTCTTTTCACAAACCGCAATTATTACTACCGTCGAATCTTTTACCTTGTAGATATCTAAAATACAATCAATTGTAGATCGTAGATTATCGTGGAACGGTGATTTCCAGATACGTGTGTATTTTAATATTTTAACCACATTTTCCTGAGAGATTTAAGGTATAAATCGTTTCGAATCTCTAGAGAAGACACCAATTCACGCGAAAGGAGCCGTAACGGGAAATAGCTTCGTTAAGAATCAGATACGCCTTTCCGGAGAATCTCTCGCCGGAGAATGACGTCTTTATTCAAGCGCGCAATCATCAGCTCCTCGGAAGTGCGTGGAATACAAAACGACGAGAATGGATAAGAAATTTTCTCCCCTTTCGAGAGAGTATCACCATCGGAAGAGATGCGCTGATAATGACAGCGAGGAAGACAATCCGGCATGGTCGGAAAAATAAAGAGTACAGATCCGAGGCAACACCTTCACAAAATGCTTGTAGTAACACGCAGCGGTATCGCAACTATACGGAAGATACATTTACGACGGAGAAAGATGTTGTTACAGATAAGTTGGCAAGCCCGTAAAAAAGTCGTCCCACTTGTTCCGGTAATTGCTACCTCGCACGAGACAAGATCAGAAGAATCATTCCGCTATCCTTTATAAAGGTATAAATACGGACGCTACGTGTTGTACGCAATGCCGAGAAAAGTCGAACCAACCGAAATCATTTTTAAGATCGAACGTAGTGCAACTCGATGAAACTACCCACGAGATCAAATCCGATCGTACTACATACTTTCCATTACTGTCCTGGATTCCCACGAAGGATACAATGCTTTTATAATCAGCCGCTCATCGGACGGGGTAACCGCGCGTCGTACGCACGCTGGAAGCAGAAACAGAAAAACCACGTCGTGGAGCCGATCACGGTCGAGATAAATAAGAGCGGACGAGATTTACGAGAGTGTCCGTGAAAAGCTCGGGGGAAATGTTCGTCCAGTTCACCAGCATATAAGCGATCGACGATGTAGATGAGAGTAGAGATTAAAGGACAGGTCCGAGAGAATTCTGGCCTCTAAAACTTGCTGCTGACTCAAAACCCACTTATGCGAGAACATTGTTTCTGAATCGCTGCACGTTGACAGAAACCCCTTGACGCGGGCAACCTAACGGATCGTTGATTTGAAATGGGTGTTGATCGGAGCCGATCGTGACACACTGCAGGACGCTCGGCGGATTCATCAGTCCGGACGTATCAATCTAAAATTTCTGGAATTTGTGCTGCCTCGCACCTAACGCGCGAAAGGCCTACATCGTCCATGGACATTCACGACTGGTTGATTCCATGATTAGAGCACGACGACGAGATCTAAAGTGTTAACCGCTATGACAACTCTAACACTAGCTTTATCTGACATAAATAATGTGACGAGACGTTTTATGTAAGGATGATATATGGTCAGAAGCAGTGGGAAGAAGTAGAGTTGGATAGATGTAGGTATTATATAACTGATATAGTTTTTTATTTATTGCTACTATATAATATGTAAATATGTATCTTTAGTACGAAAAATACCTGATGTGCCAACTACCAGAGGGCATCCCAGAAAAATACCAGCGTGCTGAATGTCCTCGGCTTCGGCAGAAGCTTTGTCTGAATTTTGATCGATCAAACAGACTTCACTCGCTATCCGCTAAAAAAATTACGTAAAAACAATTAACCAAAGCTTGTGAGCTATATAGGATTTATCCCAGAATTTTCGTATAAACTTTAACAAGTATGTTTCATGTTTTAAAATTAAAAAAATATATAAACAGAAATCCTAAAATACTTTACAAAAAATTTTCATATATACATGAAGATTTCCTCGCAAAAAAGGTGATAAATTCAAAATTATATTGATTCAAATTTGTATTTACATGGACATCATTTTAAAATATAAACTTGTTTTTCTAAAAAGTAAAATTGTTTTTTATAAATTTTATATTTTTGTTATAACTTTTTAATAAAACATTTTAAAATTTATGTTTATACAACATTTTTTCTTATTTCAGCTCATAGAAATGTTGTTAGAGTTTATATAAAAAATTCTGAAACACTCTGTATACAATAGCTCTATATATCTTATATACAGACTCTCATCAGAATTGCGATAGCACAAGCCATTCCAACTTTTCTTGTACCCACGATCGAAATTTTGACAGAATGCGGATAGACATCGCACGGTCCCAGCTGCGTCGTTATTAAAGCATTTTTCGTAGTGGTTATCGTAATCGGAGTTTTATCAGTCTAAACATACGTTGTCCTATATGTCGTAACTATGCCTACTTGATAATCTACATTTTATATCGGTAGAAATATCTCTACTGTCATAAGCGAGCGTCATTTCTCTTTCTAAGTTTGAATTCATTTAGTTGACAAGACAGAAAAGAGCATTATCCCCGTCTTACATCATCGCCTTCGGTTTCATCAGGTACTTTGCTGTCGGCGTTGCTGTCCCCTCGGATATCATCCCTTCTAGGTGTGTCAGATCCTTCGTCAGCCATGCTCTGGTCGTTGCTGTTAGATTATCGAGCAGCTGCATGAGCAGTACATTTAATGAGAACACGATCCTAGTCGTCTGTATACTTTAGTAACTATGTGTGTAATCGCACCCTACTCGTTCGAGACGTATTAACGCTTTAGATGTATCAACCGTGTTGTTTCATCATCCTTATTACCTCAATCGCGTGATTTCCTTTTCCTTGCGTTATTAACTTCGACTGACGCGGTGGTCGCAACTTCTCACTGGAGCTTATAAATGAATAGCGGTTGAGTCGGTGCTCACATTTATGCAGATCCGGATCGACCTACGCAGAAACGAGTCATCGGTTTTTGAGGTGAATCGGGTATATCGCCGTTATGAGGAAGAGAAAACGTCCGTGAAGAAGAAGTAACCGCTCGCGAGAAGATTCCGATTGGAAGAATAACGGTGGAACTTATCCGCGCACTTTGCTGTAAATTAACTGCAGGTAGTCGTAGAAATGCAAGTAACTCTCTTCGTACCTCCCGTCGCGTCGGTGTTCCATCGGTACGCTCCCGCGCACACATACTTGCAAACATATACCCATGCACGTGGTTGCATATAATATGCGTGTACACGCGTAAAACTCTCTGCTATGCCGAGACCTATTAGTTGATCACAGCGAACGAATATGATTTTAATGACTGTTCCGAATGAAATAATTAACCCCTATGGCATACCTACATGCTAAATCACACGAGACTTTCTCAATCGTTTCCACACGAAGGATTTCTATTAAAATCCTGAAAACAGATTTTTCCTTAAAATGAAATACTGCCGACTACGACGAAACTTTAACAGCTAATAATGATGCAAAAGCTCTGCGTAATATATTTCATAATACATTATACGCCCTCTTAACGTTGAGCGTGAAAATAACCGAAGAATTTTATTTATCTTTTCATCTTTAATTTACATCAGCATTATAATAACTTAGTAATTATGACCGATGAAAATTTATGTAAAGAAAAATTCAAACGTGGCGAAGTCTCATCCAAGTTTCAAGAGAAAAAAAATCGTCTAATTTATCATATATGTTCAAATAAGTGGACAGGAGATTATTAACGTCACCTTGTTATATTATTTTCGTGACAGGCCTAAAGACTCCGGGCAAACCATAACAAAAAAAAAAAAAAGGAAAAAGCATGCGATGCTATATATTCTTCCAAATGTACGCGTTGAAAGTAACTCCTTGCGCTTCCGATATAATACTCGAGCGACAATCTTAACCATCTGAAAAGGGACCAGTTAAAAAAGTAAAACTTTTCCATTTACTTTGGTGCCCGCAGATAAATCATACCCACTGCATTTAGGAGTAGCGGGCGAGGCGTTCCCGGTAGTTTGGGTATCGCGAAGTTTTAACACACATTCGAAGATGGATCTGCCTCTCGAGAGAGGTCTCGTTTTTCACACGTGGTCCATACGACTGGTCCGATCCCGCGCTCACGGACACATTCAATTTTAGCGTTAATAATTGCCGGAAAAAATGACGATCTTAAACGTGGCCATTCATCAGGACCGATCGATATTGCGAATGCGCCTTAACGACGGAGAGATACCATCGGCCGTCCTGCTACAAAGTTATTGAATCGCGTCAAATAATATACGAGCCAATAATGTATGAATAGTCCTGCAATTATGGCCCGCCGATCGTATCTAAGGGCATGTTGTAATTTAGTAATCGTTCATTCTCACTGCGTCGGACGGAGAATCGACGAATATATCGGTGGATATCGATTGCGGGAGTGTGGGATTTTTTTTCCACAAGTTTTCCAAAGTTTAGGAAAAATAATATTAAAGCAATTCGCACAACTCGATAAAGCAATCCCCCGTTCTCCACGATTACTCGCTACATCATCTGATTCTCTCGCAGCGGCTATACCTCGCAGGTTGTTGTAGGTTTGTAATAGGATAATATGTTTTCTATCTTTTTAATGACCCCGTGACACTTGTAACCATTCATAATGCCAGTTAAAATCGGTATCTACCAATTAAACGATTTCCTAATAACATCCACGCCGGATCGGGAAGATGGTAGGATCGGAGGTGAGGAAGTAATTTCGAATCTGACATTTATAGTTAAGCCCCGCGAGTGGGAACGAAGCGCCCTGCTTCCAGATAATTAATTCTCTACCTTAATTAATCATATGAATTTTATTGAACGTCGAGGTGAAGAAAACGCGGTACGAATTGATACAATATCGTCGTAGGAATTTTCCTATGACAAAGTCTGCCGACCAATGCCAGTATATATTGCCAATTCTTGCTCTTTCAAATTGTTATTGTAATTCTGCGATCCTAAAATGTACCCTAAAATGTATTGATGCGAAAGAGGCCCCCGTACGAAGACACGAATCGATCGCGATAAAGGCACGATTCGACGATAACAATATCTCGTAAGGTAAGATTTAGTCGAGTGGATGGTGCAAACGAGTCCCCGCTTACCGCGGAGATAATCCTCGAAGGTTGGTCGTAAGCAACCGATCTTCTGGTACCCAGACTCAGTCAACCGATCCAGACACCGGCTTGCGCATGCCTTCGGTGCACAATGGTAGTATTGCAGCTGATACAAGCATGTTCGCCGTGCAACCGGAATTTTAATTGGCTATTTGTTTGTCCGCTACACTTCGCAGAGCTGCTATTGTCCGCCCTGCCGCAGGAGAACGACCATCACCTCTCCTCTCTCTTTCCTTACCTCGTCTCTTCTTCCACACCCTTTCCATTGCTCGTGGTCGTCGCTTCATCGCCCAGTATTAATCTACTTTTAAGAAAGGAAGCGTTTCACGCACATACATACACGCTATCACGAGATCGCTCCCTTAATACGTTAGAATTGTTTGATTTAATCCTTGAAATTGGAAATCTTTTCTCCCACCACAAATCGGTATAAAAAAAAAAGATTAGAAATTAATTAAATTTTTTAAATCAAACACATTACTAAGTTTTATATGTTATATTATTAGTTTCGTTGTTTACAAAACAATCTGGTAAATATTATATAACATTATTGATCAATATATTAATAAATACTGCCTCATTTTAATTCGATGTATACACATCATAGTATGTATGCATATATTTATTAAACCAATTAATATCGTATAAAAAAATTTTATTTTTTCGACACATTTTATTATTTTCAAAATACAGTTCTCATCTAAATGCATTATTTAACATAATTCCTTATTTCTTCACATTCTTAAAAATTTCTGACTCTTACACCTTTTATGCTTATTTTATAATTTTAATTCTATTGTATTAAAATATATTATGAAATCATTCGATTTTATGTTCGTATATTTCTGTGCTATATTGATATCGTTTTGATTACATTGCTTCTATTTTTTAATTTTTTCTCGATATGAGAAAAATAAGTCAGGAAGCTGTAGACTGCCACTCCACTTAATCAACAGTGCAAAAACAATGTGGTTCAACTGTTGGAAAGAGTTCCCTAAAAGTGAAGCAAGAATGGCTCACGAAATATAGCACTTTTTATGTACGTTGCACGAAAGTTAAAACTTATTCCAATTAAAATGCTATCTTTACTGTAGACAGATAGACCCGAGCTCGAGATAAAAAGACTGAATGACCCAACATTAAAGAAGGATACATGTTACGAGAGATCATGCCATCGGTGCACTCTTGGAAACAAAGATCACGGACACAAAATCGGCAGCCCAAGAAACATATTTTATTGATTTTTTTTTTATGCATCTGTTGCATTGATTAATCGCAATGTTATTTATAAGACTTCGAGATTCATTTTCGCCACGGTAATTATGGACCATTTGAATGGGTTGCGCGAGGGGGTTTTCCTTTTTGGAGATGTGCGTGCGTTCCAGCACGCGTAATCTCACCAATGATCACGTACGATATTAAAAATTTGCCAGCTCTCGGCTTTCAATCGAACGCTGGAGATCTCGGAGCACGGTCGTAGGAGGTCGGGGCTTACGTTACGTACGACCCCCGTGGCTCGCTGAAATATCGCACGGACGCCGGTTCATTTCGATATTCTTGGCCCTGGGGCCCCGATGAGGAGAACTCTTCTCGGGATCGGGGGCGGCGGAGAAGGGCCGGCAAGAGACCTCTCGTTTTATTACATTGCATCGGAAAGAGGCGAGGCTGACGCGCAATTGTTTATGCCCATGTCCCGCCCTATCGGACGCATCGGACACATTCGAACATATCTACGACGTATACGCCGAGCCCGTTGCACGATGGTGGTGGTGAACGGACGTGGTGCGCGCGAACTGTGTGTACTCGTACCCTCTCGTCCGCAACTCTACCAACACTCCTCTCCGTACTCCTCCTCTTTGTTTCTTCGTTCGGGCTAAGATTATTAATGGCCAGACCGAGGTCCGATACCCCGAAGTGTCAGTCTCATGACAATGACGAAGCTCACACCTCGAGTCCACCCTCCCTGTCTTCTTCCTTCCACTTCTCTCTTCGTCTGATGACGAGTACTGTGCGTTATCGCGTGTGACTTCGATTGACGCCGTGGGTTATTGCAATGGAAATGGTGCGATTTGCAACGCACCAAACGCTCGAGATCGCACAATCAGCTTTTCATGCATCATTGTTATTGTTATAATATTTTGTGATTTGTTTCACAATTTCAATAATAATAATCATCTTATATACACATAGATGGCAATGAATATTTTAAAAAATTTTAACTTG